ATATTTTAAATCATTTATTTAAAATCGATTCATATATAAATCGTGATTCTATCTTCTACCGATTTGCTTGCGCTGATGGACACACAGCCGAAGTATGCGCACAGATGCCGCCTCCCGCATGCATGCGATCGCGATTTCAGTATTCTTTCACAGCCACACACACACACACACACATAATAATGTCAAAATGCACATCGTGTGGACTGTGGCGTATTCAATTCAAACAGAGTCTGGTATGTCTTACGCAAACGAATACAATATCCGTGCATTCATTCTTAAAGGACAAGTTTGGTATTTTACACTTAAAGCCCCGTTTCAAGATCGTTTCTGATGAAATAGAACGGTTAAGATTAAAATTTGGACACATGCTGCTGTCCCGAGAAAATTCGGTTTCTGTGGTTGCACCTCCCCCACCCCCACAATGGTTGCACAGGTGCACAGAAACAATCCTTCCTAAAACGCATTAAACTTTAGTTTACAAAGACGTTAAACTCACCGAGTGGTCAGGGGTGTTCACTGATATGCTCACACAAAAATCGCTGCAAAAGATGCTTTCCAACAGGTTAACTGTTCTATTTCATCAGAAACGATCTTGAAACGGGGCATTAAGTGTAAAATACCGAACTTGTCCTTTAAAGGGACAGCCGCGTCATAAACTGTTACCATCCGTTTAATTAATTTTAATAAAAAAACACTCACTGCTTTTGACTGAAACAGTTTTTTAAATCCTTGTTATGAATCAGGTTATATTTAATTCATACAGTGAAGACTATACAGTATTTAATTTTTACATTTGATTATTCAATTTCGGTAGTATTTCTTACTACATGTTTAATAAACCTATGCTACTGTACCTGAAAAACTTTAATTTGTATATTTTTCTATTATATTTGTCCTATTGTTTGTAATTTGCTTCTTTGTTCCTATTTTTAATCTAAAAAATAAAATAAAATTGCCTGCCTTGCTTTAATACCGAAGACTGTATGTTATGATTGTAGTCAGCTTAAAAGGCATTTGTTTTATAATATTGGGTTGACTAAAATGGGAAGAAAAACGAAGAAAAAAAAAATCAAGGTTCACATTTAATTTAATCTATTAAACTGTCTACTGCAGTCAAATAAGAAAAGTAACACAAAACAGCGAACTACAATCAAAATGCACATATTATCGAATCGAAATTTGATTAAAAATCGAGAATCGATTTTAAATCGAATCGTGACCTCAAGAATCGATTCGAATTGCGAGGTACCAAAAGATTCCCACCTCTAACAAATACTGTAATATTTCATAAAAAACAAGAATCGTCCTTTTTGATTCCATGGTGACTTGAACATTGCATGTTGGCTGTTTATGCTCATATTTGTACGCTGCAAAGTTCCTTTAAGTTTGGTGTTTCTGTTCCAGGCATGATTGTGATTGGTCTGGATGAAGAGCTGGGGCCGCAGGTGTACAAGTGTGACCCAGCAGGTTATTACTGTGGGTTCAAGGCCACCGCAGCAGGAGTCAAGCAGACAGAGGCTACAAGCTTCCTGGAGAAAAAAGTCAAGAAGAAACTCGATTGGACCTTTGCGCAGACAGTTGAGGTACATCAGAACAGGCTACAATTCAAGAAGACATTTCTATATTGCTTTGGCAGAATTGATTCCAGCTGCTAACATTGCCCACACCAGCTTATCATTGTACATAAGTTGATTTTTTTTTTTTTATCTATTAATGTCAGTGCATTAGATGACAAACCAAGTAGTATTGGCAAGCCAATGGGGCTAAAAGTGAACTTTTTCACTTTTTTTGTAATTACATTTAACCATCTGGTCCCACTGTGGTTTTTAGCAGATCTGCGTCTCTTGTCACTATAGCACAGTTTCTTTGGAATGGAAATATCAACTTCCTCTAAACTTGCTTTGTTTGCTCAATAATGTAGTTAAAGATATTACCGAAAGGTTTGGTTATATATGCTTGCTTCCTGATTTATTACACAATTTATTTGTAAATAGGGGAATAATGGTAACTTTTTTGTACTTTGAAATTCATTTAAAAAAAAGAAAGGTTATATCAACAATCTGCTCTTTAAAAAATTAAATACAATTATATTTAAATAAAGTGTGCTATGTTATGTATCTTGTATACATCCTAAAGCCAAACACTTTTTGCAATTATTTAATAAGTACACTACCAGTCAAAGTTTTGGATCAGTAAGATTTTTAATGTTTTTAAAATAAGTCTCTTCTGCTCACCAAGGCTGCATTTACTTGATTAAAAATACACAAAAAAACAGTAATATTGTCAAATATTATTACAATTTAAATATGGTAGTAAAGTGTCATTTATTCCTGTGATCAAAGCTGTATTTTCAGCATCATTACTCCAGTCTTCAGTGTCACATGATCCTTCAGAAATCATTCTAATATGATGATTTGATGCTCAAGAAACATTTCTCATTATTATCAATTTTGAAAACAGGTTTTTTAAAATTTTTATTTCAGGATCCATTGATGAATAGAAATATCTGAAATAGAAAGCTTTTGTAACATTAAACACTACCCTTCAAAAGTTTGGGGTCAGTACGAATTTTTTTATTTTTTTGGGGGGGGGGGGAGAAATCAATACTTTTTATTCATCAAGGATGAATTTGATCAAAAGTTACAGTAAAGACAAATGTAATCTTACAAAAGATTATATTTCAAATAAATGTTATTTTGTACTTTCTATTCATCAAAGAATCCTGAAAAAAAAGATTGTACACATCTGTTTTCAACATTGATGATAATAATGAATGTTTTTTGAGCATCATATCAGAATGATTTCTGAAGGATCACGTGACACTGAAGACTGGAGTAATGATGCTGAAAATTCAGCTTTACTCACAGGACTCACATTTTTAAATATATTAAAATAGAACACAGTTATTTTAAATTTTCACAATGTTACTGTTTTTGGTATTTTTAATCAAATAAATGCAGCCTTGGTGAGCAGAAGAGACTTCTTTTAAAAACATTACAAATCTGACTGATCCAAAACTTTTGACTGGTATTGTATATAAATCAACCATTTCCATCCACAGACGGCGGTCACATGTTTATCAACTGTGCTGGCAATCGATTTCAAGCCTTCTGAGTTGGAGGTAGGCGTCGTCACAGCAGAGGATCCGAGATTCAGGTGGGTGTGCAAGAAGAACCGCGCTCTTTTACACTGAGAGTCTCTGTTATACAGGAAATCAGTTCTAGAAAGGCAGTTGTTCGCTTCAGTACTGATATTCGTCAAGTGATGCAACATGCCTCGTATATGTCTGATGCATGTTCTACCACTGAGTGTGTTGTTCGTGGTCGTGGCACCTAAAAGGACTTGCTCTGTTTCAGGATTCTGTCCGAGTCAGAATTGGACACTCATTTGGTCTGTCTGTCTGAGAGGGACTGAGATCTCCAGGCTGCTGCTCACAGTGTTCAAGATACGTAGGATCCCATTCAGATCTTTTGTTCTTATGTAAATTCCCTGTTCCATTAAATACATTTTGAGAAAAATATTTGTAAGATTCCAGCGCTCTTCCTTTCTCTTTTTCTTCTGGTGTATGTGAACGAGTGAGCGTTTAGCTAGGGGAATCCCCGACGTGCACATCTTTCATTTTCGCTGCATGCAGTGTTTTCCCAAGCTGATTTGACAACAGGGAAATCGTTTACAGGTGTGCTTCGTGGAATTATTTGTGAACTTTGAGCGTACCAAAAGTCGCTTAGGGCTGACTGGAGAAGATCACGCAAGGAAGGTCAAACACATGCTTTAGAGTTTATTCACACTCCTGATCATCTGACTCGCTTCAACTTTGTAGCGTGACTGGAAGTTTGAACAAATTTGAGGGGTTTTTTTTGGTCATTTTTCGTAGAATTCCCACAGTAAATCTGGTCCTCAAATACATGCTTGAAAAAAGAAAGATTAGAAAATCTGTTAAAGGTATCATGAAGCTTTTTCAGCATTCATTAATCCTGGTTAATGTTCATTTCTACATGTACTAATATATTTTTAACATTTGAAGTCATAAATTATAAATAGAAATGAACAATAGTTGATGTATTATTAACAAACAGGAATTAACAATGAACAATAAATATATGTATAAATTAGCATTAACCTATGAATTGTTGTGCATTGTTAGTTCATGAAACTATACATGTATATACACACACACATATATATATATATATATGGGTCATGTGACACTGAAGTAATGGCTGCTGAAAATCCAGCGTTGCAATCAAAGGAATAAACTACATTTTAAAATGACAGTTTTTAAATTGTAATATTTCTAAATATTACTGTTTTTACTGTATTTAATTAAACAATTGCAGCCTTAGAGCTTAAGAAACATTTCAAAACAGTTAAAAAAGTGTGTGTATATGAATAGGAATTTACCATGTGACAGTGTTGTGGATGATTGTCATATTGAAATAATTCCAAATTATTTTGAATAGCTCCTGTGATACTCATTATCAGGAGAACAAAGAAATGGAATTTCCCTTCAAATCTAAATCCCTGACTTATCCGTCTCCAGAAACATGATTAATGCCTTAATAAAAAGAGAGCTATGACTCTGAATTAGGTGGCTGTCTGAGTAATCCATAAATTACACTGATCAATTGTTTTATGGATGATCTGTTCATATAGTCCCGTAATGAAATCCAGGTGTGGAATACGTAATGAATCTGAGCCGAACCTTTAGCGGTCAGGTGTTAATTTCTCTTTCTTGTGGGGAACTTCACACTAAACATGAGTCAGTTAGATATGACTCCATTTCAACAGACCCAAGGAATTTTATTCAAACTACAGTGACGCATCTAACGTGACTCATGTGTTCCAGAAAGGAAACCATAGCAGTTACAGTACAACATCGAGGGCTTTTTTTCGGAATTACCACTATGTCCTGGAATGTGATGTTCTTTCACAAGTTTCGCAACTCGAGAAAATTTCCAGGCCTTCTGGACATTCAATACAAGAAACACCCAAACTCGGAATTCATTTCTTTCATTTTTAATGTAAAAGATATTTTCACAGTGTAATACATAGACTTTAAACATTATTGACAAGTGTTTCATTTGACTTATTAACAAATATAAAAATATATCTCTATATATATTCACAAAATATACATGTTTTCCCAACTCTTTGGCTTCAAAAACATTGGTAAATGTTGTGGTCCAGCTGTATCTGGGGTTCTTTCCACCACCGCGATCACATCCCCGAGGGCAGGGGGAGCAGCTCTTTTCCACATTGTGGAGTCCCACTAAGGGACTGGCGTCCTGGGATAGTGCACACCCCGGCACAGACCTTGAGACAGCACCTACAGCCTTAGCTGCTTTGCATTATGGGAAATGTTGTCCTGTTGGCCAGACTATCTCCCACAGAACTGGATGTCGTCATACATCTATATATAAAAAAAAAAAGATACATATATAAATATAAATAAGAGTTTATCAAATGACTTTCACGCAATATCCCACATGAATAACAACAATAAGCAATGGCGTTTTGGAAGAAAACTTACACAGTCATCGTCAGACGAAAGCTCCTCTTCGCTCTCCTCCGACTCGCTCTCCGGCATCAGCCTGAGCTCTTGGGCCGTCCGGCTGTAAAGCTGCCTCTGGATCTCGCTGTTGTGTCGGCCGAAGGTCAGGTGGTACGGCGTATATCCGCCATAGGTGAGACTGTTGACATCAGCTCCCAAAGCAATGAGCGTGTGCACCAGTTCCAGGTTCTGCATGTCCACGGCCAAATGGAGCGACGTCCGGCCGCTGCACTGCTCCTGAACGTGAGAAAAAACACGGTCAGTTCTCTTTACAAGCATTCAAGCGAGTCATTTATGTAGCTGGAACGTATTAAAAAAAGGAAAATCGGTGTAGAAATGGCAAGTGACGTACCTTTGCGTTTACATCCGCCCCGAGCTGGACCAGGCTTTCCACCATTGAGAGGTAATTGTGAACGGCTGCTATGTGGATGCATGTATGTCCTGTGATAAAAAAGAAGGATGATACTTTAAAAACTGTACTTCAAAAAGTCACAAGCTCAAATGGTCAGGGGGGGGGGGGTCTTTGACTTACCGCTGTAGTTTGGGAAGGTGAGAATGGAGCGCAGATGCTGAGTCTGAATCTGAGTGAGTACTGAGAAGCAAGCCAGCGACCCTCTTTTGCAGGCGATGTGGAGGGCCGTGTTTCCACTTTGATCGACCAGTCGTGGATCACAGCCGGCCTTTAGCAGTCGGTCCACCATGTGTGGCTGTTCTGTGATGACGGCGAGATGCAGTGCGGTCTGCGGATGGTAATTGGAAGTTAATTAGTTTTTGTTTTGTTTTCTTGGTGAATTGTTCAAGTTAGTATTTCTTAAGGGAGGTTCAATTACCTGTCTTTGGTGGTTCTGTCGGTTCAGGAACGGGTCATTCTGACACTGTTTGATGATCTGGATGGCATAATCTTCCGCCTCGTGAATGATGGCAAGGTGAAGATACCTGGAAAATAATGTGGGAGGGTTTTTTTTAGAAAATATTTTAAGAACACTCTGAGAGGATGTGGTTTACAAAGACACAGTAAAAGCAGGCGGTCGTTTCGCAAGAATGGAGTTTTTAAGGTTATTTCCAACCACTGTGGCTCTACACATCTGATGCATTCTATGCGCTTGGCCGCGCGCCAGGGACTTTCCTGCCTGCGCACTTTGTTTCTCAAGCTCCGCCCACTTTGGGCGCTGCTCCAAAAAGCGATATTTGTTTACTTCCGCGCTTTAGCGATATCTCGCAAATTAAACTATTTGCATAACTTCTTTAAACAAATTTCAAAAAGTTTTTTGTCGGCTGCTTACAATTATAACTGCAGAATCAAAATTGCTCAGTTGGTCCCAACAGGGAAAAAAAAAAGTTTTTTTTTTTCTCTAAATAAAAACAAAATATATAGGCTATATATATATTTTAATAAAGCAAAGAGAATTTAATGATCAATGCATTTTGTTTTTAATTAAACTTTGTTTTATTTAATAAAAAAAAAAAAATTACCCTCCAAACTAAAGTAAATGTTGGTGAATTGTGGTTGCATATAATGGGTTAATTTATGCACGCTCTTTTATCACTAGAAAAGCTCGCACTGCATTATTAATATTTTAAGTTAAACTTACGTGTCTCCGTCCTCTGTGACTTCTTCTGTCCAAGGTTCACACATCCCCTTTGGATTTGCACTTGGGTTTGGCAAAGACAAACTCTCCATTTCCTCCACAATTTTCCTATACTCGTCCTCCTTTAGCGAATCCACGCCGCTATCGACGCGATCCTCGCAGTGTTGCATTTTCCTGTTTTTCGTATCCATTTCGTCAAGATCACAATCCATATAGTTGATTCTGGCAGCTCTGTTTAAATCCATCGCAACGCTCGCTCTCTCGCACTCAGTCAGCAGTAAAGTGTGCCGAAAGGGCGGTGCGTCTCGCTTTTTATAGCCGCGCCTCCCCGCTTCCATGCTCATCGGGGGATTTCCATCCGCAACTTATCTTTACTCTACTCTGAAAAGGGGAACTCGTGGCGGGCTTTTATTTAGAGAATTTCCCTCAAGATGACTCCGCGAAGTAAGAATGAAAATCTGTATTTTCCTATTACACATTCAAATGTACCTGGTTGATTCGCAGTAAGCCAAACGCTCGGGTAAAATGAATGACAAGAGAACATGAATGAAAGGCATGTGGAAGGGGGCTATTAATAATGCAGGACATAAATAGGCTATGCAGCTGGAAATAGCACTTGATATCCACATTATTTTTGTTGGTTTATTTTTTGTAGGCTATACGTAGGCCTATAGTGACCCCTAAAATGATTTTACTGTACCAAATTATAAAACCTTATGGTTTTATAATTTGTTACATAATGTAAATATATAACTTGTTAAGCAAATCTTTATAAGGAGAACTGACTTTATTAAATCCACTAGAAATCACCTCGACACAAATTCTTTATCTGAGAAACGTTGGAATTTTTTTTTTTTTCAGATGTAAGGTGTCTAGAATTCAGATCAAGGCTTGGTTCCTCAAATGTACTTACAAAATTGTGAATTTAAATTCCGTGAAAAACTTTGACATCAGTTGTTTGCTTGCAGAATGTAAAGTTCTTAGTGCAACGTGTTCCATTAAATGCTGAAACCTTTTCAGAATTAATAATGTGAAGAGGGTAAGAAGGGTCAGTTTAAGGTAATGAAGTGAAACATCCCACATGGAAGGCCCCTCAATGTTCCACATGATTCAGGTTTGGGGGGTCCACGATATTCCCCTGCACTTTTTTTTTCCGGGGCTCCCCCTTCAAATTTTTTTATTCTTATTTCATGTCTTTTTAGTATTTTCCATGACAACATTAATGTAGTGTCCCTAAAAGAACACTGTAAAAAAAAAAAAGGTCAATAAGTTATGATAACGTATTTTCCCATTTATTTAACTCATCAAAATAAGTTAAGCAATTTTCAACTTTTATTATTTTTTTAAGTCTGTTTAATAGGCTTAATTTAAGTTGAAATGACTTAAATATCCAAGTTGATTGTACTTAAAAATTGAAGGCAGCATTTTTTTTATGCTGAAATGTAATAAATCACCTACTAAGACTAATTTATCCTCAATTGCATGATTAAAAACATGCATTTGTCTTTTGCATGAACTACAGTATCTGTCTGGTTTCATATCCATCTCTTCAAACAGAGCAAGACAGGTGGACAGGCCCAAAAAGATGGAAACTCCAGGTAAATAAAGCTTAGTGTGATCCTGTCTGCAGCGCCTTTCTTCACCTGACATTTGCACTGGAAACTACTGAAGCTCTGTTTGCATAAAGGAGGAGCCATAACATAGCAACCGTTTCTACCAACAGCGCTTATGTCACCATGGCGATACCGTGACATGCGTCAAGATGGATGTCAGGATCACGCCTTGTCGTGTCTCGCCTGCTTTGTCACGAAGATATTGAAATGCATCATTGAAATTATGCTTATGAAATTCAGTTTGAGTTCAGGGAAAGGACATTCATAGAAAGTACCAGAACATTCCCTGAATTGTTGCGCATGCAGGTTTGAACTTGAATACACACAATGTTCCAAGAGGAAAATTTGGCTAATTTCCTTTTTATATCTGCCAGTAGCTTTTATACTGAATGTACGGTACTATGAAGAGTTATTTACTGCTTCAACCTTGTTGTCTTTTTCTTTTGATGCTGCAGAGGATTTAGTTCCATTCTGAATGGAGGGAGTTTTGGGAGGTCCGGGTTCTAATTTGTAACCCTGTGTGGGCCGACAGTTTGACCCACTATATTCTTAGTCTGACAAGACTTTAAAGAGCAGAGCGTGGGCTGAGTGTGTTAATCTGGGGTAGACCTGTTCTTAGCCTGAGCAGTGAGTCATGATCCGGCTTCTGTTCACGGTGGTATTCGGGGTGTCTCCGAGACTCTCCAAATTACGCAAGGCCACGAATAAACAACGAGCAATAATCTTTCAAATGTTTACGAATACGCAAACCATGCAGGAAAACCCTTAAATAATTTGTTCCAGAACCTGATTTGCAAGATCCTCCCGCGTTTCAAGTTTGCCTTCTCCTAACAACCAACAATGTTGTGTTACTAATAGTAACTAATTATGTCACATTATTCATTTTTGAGGAATGTAGAATGTTAGGTTACTTTTATGTTGCTATTTCACACTGTCAGCTGACTCCTTTTTTTCCCCTTTTGCTTTTTTAGCAAGTTTTTAAAATGAACATTTCAGTGTGGGTTAATAGGAAACCACCCCTATTTCTTCCCACAAGGGGAAGGGAGACTTTGTTTGGTGGTGTAAGTATGGTAACATTTTAATTTTAGTGTCCTTGTTACATATCTTGCATACTTACTGTAGTACTAACAGTAAATTATGCCTAATTACATGCAACTGTTTTACAGTCCTGTTCTCCATTATTATAGTAATTGCAATAACTAGGTACTAACCTTCAGAGCGTCCTCAAAGCCACACCTTCAAAACACATAAACGCACACAACAGGGACCAAAGAAAAGCGTCACGAGAGACGCCGTTAAACTACCTCATGTCTCATTACAATAACAATGAACATAACTTAAAGAGCTCTAATATGTACCAATCTGACTGCTCTAGATCAATTTCGGTGTTGATAGTGTTGCCATTGAAACACAAACTCGAGTCATAAACCGCTCCGAGTGTAACACCACGGGTTTACATCTCTTCCAAATGACAGTAGATATGTTGTGAACACAGCATAAGCTGGTTGTTTTGGTTCAGGAGGAACTGTTAAAGGCGGCTGCTGTTTTGTTTGCGGCGCTCAGTGACTGACGTCTGTCTAGTTCTGCATAGCAGATCGTACCATTGCTTTCGGACCTGATGCAATGATTGGACGAACGTTTTATGGTCCTTCGCCTTGCACAGACGTTACATAAATATAAATTAGGGCTGTCAAATGATTAATCGTGACTAATCACATCCAAAATAAAAGTTTTTTTTACATAATATATGTGGGTGCACTGTGTATAATTATTTTATATATATAAATACACACACATGCTTGTATATATCTAAGAAATATTTTCATGTATATACTGTATATTGATTTATATATAATTTATATTATATATAAATATAAATATTATATATATAAATATTTTTTTTTATTAAATATACATGCATGTGTGTGTATTTATATATATACAAAATAATTATACACAGTGCACCCACATATATTATGTAAAAAAAAACTTTTATTTTGGATGTGATTAATCTTGATTAATCATTTGACAGCCCTAATATAAATACATTTAAACCACTTAACTTAATGATTGCTATCAGGATGTAAAGAGACTTTCAACCAGCATAACAAAAAATGTTTCTGGAACCAATCGCTTACCCTGCCTTTAACCCATAGTTACCTTATATTACCCAATACTTTCTTAGGTAAGTACACGTTAAGTGCACATACTGTAAAATAAAGTGCAAACCCAAACCCTAATCCTAACCCTACTAGTTGAGTACATAATTAATATTATTTATTATAAACACTTTAACATAAAGTGTAACTGTTAGGCTATTATTATTATTATGCACACAGAGTTCAAATTTGAATTTGAAAATGTAAATCAATTAAATGTATTTTTCATTCAACTTTTATGTTGACTTTTCTTTGTTTAAAATGTTTCAAAATCCAGTTCAAGGCAATTCGTCATTCTTTCATAATGGTTTCCTGTAAATAGTCTGATGATGCAAAATTGACTAAACTGCCATTCATGACGTCACAAGTTCTGGTCTACTCGCTGTTTTTTCGAGTATTCTCTGTACAGCGTCACATAACACAACAAAACCCAGTGGCCTTTTCCACACTTTACGCCTGCCATACGTCTACATTTGAGTCAGCAAGAGCAGATCTTATGATTGACGTGCCATATGATACAAGGCTTCACATATGTCAACTGTTATTCTGATTATACAGTAAATGATGTATTGTGGAAAGATCATGAAGATGGTTTCCATTCCCAGGGTCTCACTCACTCTACACTCTGAGCTGAGATTCAGAAGTCCCTTTGACAACATTTGTTCAGTCGGAACACCATGCAACATCATAAAAAATGGATGTATACTATAGTAATTCTACAATTTACATAAAACCATATACTGTAAAAATACAATAAAAAATGTGTGTGTGGATATATAATGTTACAGCCTGTTTGGGTACTGAAATTGGTTTTAGTGTATAAGTAAACTGTAATATATATGAATTATAGTATATTACAAATGCTCTAATTTTTGCAAGGTTATACTTACAATGTCATAACATTAAGTCCCCCTGTAGTCAATAATTGTATCCCTTAAAACTCATCTTTGATTACAGAAATTACATATTTAAATGTTGTTGTTTTTTCTGTGAAAAGAGTTCGTCATGCCTTAAAATAGCTTGACTGTAACTCTACACCCTTGCCTCATTTAATATACGCGGTTCTATGAATATGCGAATTAGCCCCCGCCTCCACTCACTCACTCAGCTCAGACCTGGTTGGTTACAAGGTAGTTTGTGACGTCAGAAACACCAGCGATTTCAAACCGTGTTTTTGAGACTGTCTTTGGTTCACTGCAGTTTTAAGGAGTAAATACTCAGCAATGGTGTTGACTTATGAATTTGCACATGATTTGTCTTATTTGTCATATTAAAAACACCACATAGACATATAAACCACTGGCGTCGCCACGGGTGTGCCAGGGTGTGCCGGTGCCACCCACAGTGGCAGCTGGCACACCTAAAAATAGTCCAGAATAATTGTTTAAGTCTTGATATAAAAAAAAAAAATCTAAACTTGACCTATTGTTATTTACTTACAATTTGTTAATTTAAAATGTAATTAAATGTTTTAATTGTTATCGTTAAAAAAAATCT